GATGAACCCACAAGTACGGTTCAGCAAGGCCTAAACCGCTTATGTAGATTACCTACTGGTTCTGAGTAGGGAAGGAATGTGAAACCGAACTCCATCCCCCTACACATAAACGCCCTTGAAGGGGTCCTTTTAGGGTTTAGGGTTTAGGGTAATTCTCTCATTCCCTACAAAGGACCAGTAAGTTTGGTGTTTGGTCCAGGGGATCGGGAGAAGGTGCCGCCTTGTTTTGAATGGTAGCTGCCAAGCACAGTGGCCACGATTTGCAAGAAATTTCACCCGAACCCTAAACCCTAAACCCGAAACCCTAAACCACAGATGGACTATCAGCTTCAGTGTCGCGCGGACCTTGCGGCTTTGCGCTCGCCGACGCATTCTGCTGGACCTGCCAGATGCGACTGTGGTTTAGGGGTTTCTGTGTCATAGTGGGATAACATTTTACATTTTTAAGGGTACTTAAACTCAATAAGAATAAAATTTTAAATTTTTATTACTATCCCAACTATAAACCAGGTTTAGGGGTTTGGGGTTTAGGGTTTAGGGATTAGGGGTTTAGGGTTTAGGGGTTTAGGGTTTGGGGGTTTCGGGGTTTATGGGTTTAGGGGTTTAGGGGTTTAGGGTTTCGGGTTTCGGGGCACTTCAGCAGCCAGCGGATAGCACCTCGAACGAGCAGCCTCTCTTCGATCTCGGAGGAAAGCAGAGGGGGGGGGGTTTAGGGGTTTAGGGGTTTAGGGGTTTAGGGGTTTAGGGGTTTAGGGGTTTAGGGGTTTAGGGGTTTAGGGGTTTAGGGTTATTGGAGCGATGCCTCGGATGATGACCAGGGGCAGGCTCAGCTCGCTCGTACCGCGCGATCCTGCGGGCTGATTGTTCCTGAAACCCTAAACCCTAAACCCTACGACCTTGGAGCGTGAAGAGCGACGAGGACCGGTTTCGTCTTGAGAGCCGCCTGCTGAATCAGGGTGGGCGGATGCTCTGCAACAAGAGCGTGCAGCAAAGGGAGGGGGCAACGCGGGCCCTGGTTATCTCAGGTTCTGCAAGAAGAACTTGCTGAGGAAAGGCTTGGCAGCCCTGGGCCCAAACCAGATGAGGGGGTTTAGAGTTTAGGGTTTCGGGTTTAGGGTGTAAAGATAGGGTTTAGGGTGCAAGAAGAAACGAGCGGCAAATGCGCGGAGCATAGGTAGGGTGCCGTGGGGTTTTTGGGTTGGGTTTAGGATTCAGGCTCTATAGGGCCCGGATTTCCCAGATCCCCTAATGGGGTAAATTCGCAAACATGTAGTAGAATATTGGCCATATTCCCAGATCTACGCATGGGATATACCAAAAACAATACACCCGGAACCTACCGACCCTATCCCAGAGGGTTCAATATGAGCCCACCCTCTGTGAGGCAGGAGAGCAGCGTCAACGTACCAGGGCTTAGGGTTTAGGGTTTAGGGTTTAGGGTTTAGGGTTTAGGGTTTAGGGTTTAGGGCCCGAATCATGCAATCCTAAGCCTAGGCAGGAGAACATCGTCAAAGTTTGGCTGCCTTACCTGGCGGAGAATCGCACGTCCATCGTGGCTGGGGCGCAGCTAGGGAAGCCAGCATGACCGATTTCAAAGGCTTAGGGTCCACTTCGGCTCTTGGGTCGGGGTTTAGGGTTTCGGACTTAGGGTTGAGGGTTTAGGGGGTGTAGAGTTTACATTTGTGGCTTGGGTTCGGGCCCTGGTGGCCCTAATCACTTGAAATCCCAAACTCCTAAATCCTTTCGTGAACCCAAAACCCCAAACCCCACAAGCTAGGCCATCGGCAGCCTAAAGATCAAGATCGGGGATACCCCGAGTCCCTTTGTTGTCCTCCCACAGAAATCCTGATCCTAGGACTTAGGGCTATATAAGGGTTGAGGATTTAGGCCCCACACGTGACTCTCTTCGAGTTTGTGTTTGCCTCGTGTGCCCCAAATGCGATAACCCTTGCTATTTGAATGACTCAATACTTGGGGGGCTCTGGGGTGTTCGCCCTACACCCTAAACCCTAACCCTATATCCCATCAGCCCAAAACCCCTTCCTGGGCCGATCACCCCTAGCAGAAGCCGCGTTGTGCAAGAGCCCTAAACCCTAAACCTTAACCCCTAAACCCTAAACCCTAAACCTTAAACCCTAAACCCGAAACCCTAAACCCCTAAACCCTAAACCCTAAACCACCTAAGGTCAGGACCACGCCCTCCATGGAGCCTCCTGTCCAAGAATCCCGAGAACCCTCATCGCTGAAAGCCTGCACGGTAAACCCCAGAACTCTAAACTTATAAACCCTGAAGCCCTAAAGGGTTTAGGGTTTAGGGTTTAGGGTTTAGGGTTTAGGGTTTACGGTTGAGGGTTTAGGGTTTAACTCTGAACCCTAGAGCGTTAAAACCCTGAACCGCAAAACTCTACACCCCAAAGCCCTCTACCGTTTGGGCGATTATACTTTGTCGGGGTTAGGGTTTTGGCTTCAGGGTTGACGGTTTAATTCGGCTTTACGTTTCAAGGCTGAGGGGTGTTTACAGGGTTTATTTTGGCTCCTTCTTTTGACAGGGAAGGTGACATAATGTGTTGAACCAATGTAGAGTATACTTGAAGGTTAAGGTGCAGTTGTAAGCAGCGTTATAAGAAAGTAAGCCTTTGAGAACCTTGATAAAGGCAAGTCTGACCCTGACCCGACTTCGCACTGCCCATGAACCTTCACGCCAGAACCGCATACCCTGTACCCTAAACCAAATAGCCCAAACCCTGGGTTTAGGGTTTAGGGTTTAGGGTTTAGGGTTTAGGGTTTAGGGTTCAGGGTTTTACTTACAACTACGCATGAACCTTACACACTTGAGTCCTGACTCCCTAAACCGCGTTAAGGCCTTGAACCCCTAGGTAGGCCCTTGGGATAATGTTGTTTTTTTTTTTCCCCCCCCCCCCTTTTTTCGGCTTCGGGTTTAGGGTTTAGGGTTTAGGGTTTTGGGTTTAGGGTTTAGGGTTTAGCGTTTAGGGGTTTAGGGTTTAGGGTTTTAGGGTTTAGGGTTTAGGGTTAAGTAGAGGATCATATTTAGGAATATCTTTTTCAAGAGTTTCAGGGACCATCCCAGAGAGCCTCAACTAAAGCAGCCCGAAGCCCTTGCTAAACGCACCCTAAGCTGCTAAACCCTAAACCCTAAACCCTAACCTAAAAACCCTAACCCCTAAACCCTAAACCCTAAACCCTAAACCCTAAACCCTAAACCCTAAACCCTAAACCCTAAACCCTAAACCCTAAACCCTAAACCCTGAACTAAACTAGGTCTCAAGCCTAAAGCCCGAAGTTCTGAACTTTGTCTTTTGTTTCTCAGGTACAAGCCCTGAACTCCTAACCTAAACGACCCCAAGCCTAAAACCCGAAGCTTCGAACTTTCTTGTTTCTGTTTCTGCGGTGCAAGCCCCTAACTTGGGATGTTCCAACCCTGAACCCTAAACCCTAAGCCCTAAGCCCTAAACCCTAAACCCTAAACCCTAAACCCTAAACCCTAAACCCTAAACCCTAAACCCTAAACCCTAAACCCTAAACCCTAAACCCTAAACCCTAAACCCTAAACCCTAAACCCTAGACTAGCAGTCCTGAACAGGCATCATTTAGTCCCTATGAAGGACTGTTCGTAGAAGGGGGAGGATCCCAAGGTGCAAGCCCTGAACTCCTAAACCCTAAACCCTAAACCCTAAACCCTAAACCCTAAACCCTAAACCCTAAACCGCGTATCCCTGGAGTGCCCACCCTCCGAAAAATCCGCGGAGAGTCCATCGACAGTCTGAAGACGGTAGGGTGGCTCCTAAACCTTAAACCCTAAACCCTAAACCCTAAACCCTAAACCCTAAACCTTAAACCCTAAACCCTTACCTCAGGGGCCCGGTGGGGCAGGCTCGAAGTCTTGTTCTTGTTGAGGTGCCAGCACTCAAGCTTTGGACCCTATAGCTTCCTAAGCCCTACAAGGAGGGGGGCCCCCTTACTATACTAACTATAGGTCGGGGACTTATAACCTAATTGAGGGTCCTTACAACCAACGTAGGGCCCTTATAACTCTACTTGTAACTTGGGGGGGACCCTCCTTGCAAACAAAACCCTCCAACAACAACCACGCATGGAAGGTTTAGGGGTTTAGGGCTTGGGGTTTAGGGTTTAGGGTTTAGGGTTTAGGGTTTAGGGTTTAGGGTTTAGGCTTTAGGGTTTAGGCATTCGCACCTGCCCGAGGAAGTACAGCGACTCGCTAGGGGGCCGTCTTGGCGCACCATGGGATGACACGTTCTTTTTAGACGCCTCTGGGACCTGTTTGGGGTTTATGGTTTGGGGGTTTAGGGTTTAGGGTTTGGGGTTTGGGGTTTGGGGTTTAGGGTTAGGGGGCAGAATGCGTCTTGTGGTTTAGATGCTTTGGCTTTTGCTGGGGATTGAAGCTACAGGGCTAGTTTTGCTGTTTTCTGCAGCTTCTTTGGGCCTAGGTAGACGCCTGGGGTTGTTTAGGGCTTAGGACCCTAAACCATGAAGCCCTAAGCCTCTTGAACCTTAAGAGGTTCTACCTAGGCCCGATTTTTCATTCGGTTTAGGGTTTAGGGTTTAGGGTTTAGGGTTTGGGGTTTGGGGTTTGAGGTTTGGGGTTTGGGGTTTGGGGTTTAGGGTTAGGGGGCAGAATGCGTCTTGTGGTTTAGATGCTTGGCTTTTGCTGGGGATTGAAGCTACAGGGCTAGTTTTGCTGTTTTCTGCAGCTTCTTTGGGCCTAGGTAGACCCCTGGGGTTGTTTAGGGCTTAGGACCCTAAACCATGAAGCCCTAAGCCTCTTGAACCTCAAGAGGTTCTACCTAGGCCCGATTTTTCATTCGGTTTAGGGTTTAGGGTTTAGGGTTTAGGGTTTAGGGTTTAGGGTTTAGGGTTTAGGGTTTAGGGTTCAATGATGCAAGGCAGATGCGCTCTTGCAACTTGGAGGTTCGAATCAGGCCACACGAAATTTCTGTAGCCCAGGGAGTCAAGCCAGTGCCATGGTCGTTACGGCGACGGATCCAGTCAAGGAAGTGAGAAGTGAGGATGCTCAGGGGGTGCCCGGCCTGCCACGTAAGGTGTCTGGGCTTGCAACTTACTCCGGAGATTTGTAGTATGGTTTCGGGTTTTAGGGTTTAGGGTTTAGGGTATGGTTATTTGTACTTTCGAGGCTTAAAGGTTTTCTTTACAGTTCTCGAGGGTTTCGGAGAAACATCGACTCAGCCCGCCACAGTGCCCAAACCCTGCACCCTAAACCCGAAACCCCAAACCCCAAACCCTAAACCCTAAACCCGAAACCCTAAACCCCAAACCCGAAACCGAGGAAGTGCTGGATGATACTCCTATGGTGCCTGGACTGCAGCAGCCGACCAGAGCAGCTCGGCGCGCCCGCGCGACCGCCAGGTCATCCACCAGCACAAGGACGAGGGTTTAGGGTTTAGGGTTTAGGGTTTAGGGTTTAGGGTTTAGGGTTTAGGGTTTAGGGATAGCGGTTGCTTGATGCTTGTTTCTCAGTAAGCGTCTATGGTAAGTATTAGACCTTATTGAAAAGAGGGTTCTCAGAATAGAGAGCAGCGTGAGGCCTACGGCCCCACAGGCTTCCGGTGAGCCCGTGCCTATACCAAGACCGATGACACTCTTGGAGAAGTTCCCTCCTTCCCCCCCCACTCCAAGCGAGAACCCAGCACGACACATGATGGCACGTCTGGCCGACGTCGGCAAGGCAAACATGGCTTTCTATCCTTGCGGTGGGGAGAGGGAGGAACTCGGGGAGGATGAGCTCCACAAGTTCCTTACGAAAGGCCAGCCCAAGTCGTGCATAATGCAGTGCACTTCACGCACGGAGCGTTTCCAACTCGCATTGTTGGATCAACAAAACGGAATGAACCCCTCTTTTATCAATGCAAAAGAGAAGTCCTTCCTTCATGCCATCAGCCAGGATGAAAGGTGCAGAATGTTCTCCCTGAATGATGAGGAAAGGGACATCCTGGATCAGGCAAACGAAAGTGAACAAGGGCTCGCTATGCCAAGCGTGCCAGCCCCGTCAACAGAAAGGCAGATGCTTTCCTACCCCTTGTCAGAGCCTGTGGAGCACCCGATGGACGCTGTTGACATCATCAAGGACACTGTGAGCCGCTTCTTCCGTCTCACGCTGTCGGCATGGGACTCGTAAAGGGGCCGGAATGGGAACCCCAAGCAGGGAGCCCCAAGAATAAAGTAGGAAGATCATGGGAATGTACCGACCAGGGTGCTTATGTTCCCCTGTTATTCCTACCCCAAACCCTAAACCCTAAACCCTAAACCCTAAACCCTATATTCTTGGGGTTCCCTGTTTGTTGTTCCAAGTGTGTGTAGTTTTCAGTACGTAGCCAGCTGCGGTGGGGCGGTAGGGACAACGAACCCGAATGTGGGGATTGTCTAAATTAGGGCTCAGGTTGAGGGTTTAGGTTTAGGGTTTAGGGTTTAGGGTTTAGGGTTTAGGGTTTAGGGTTTAGGGTTTAGGGTTTAGGGTTTAGGGTTTAGGGTTTAGGGTTTAGGGTTTAGGGTTTAGGGTTTAGGGTGAGGGTTTTGGGCTTGAAGGCTGTCAATGTCTTGCTCGGCCCTGGTCTCAGATGTTCTTGGTAGCCGATGATGGCGGTAGACTCGGGGTAGGGGGCAGCACGTGTGCTGGTAGGGTTTAGGGTTTAAGGTTTAGGGTTTAGGCTTTAGGGTTCAGACTTTAGGGCTTAGGGTTTAGGGTAAGTCCCAGGGCCCCTACCACTCACTCCCCGCTCAGAGAGATTGGACCTGAGTCCTGATCCACTTGGACTTTCAGGCGGGGTGTTCCCGAAGTCAGTCATGAATTCGTTTGTTGTCGACGGAGATGAAGGGCGTTGGTGATTTCAATTTGTCCTGGCGCCGGAAATGGTTCGACTCTGGAAAAGCAAGAGAGCGAAAAGCTCACGCCGGGAAAGGAGGGCCGTCGTCCTCTCTGACTGTAAGGTTTAGGGTTTTAAGGACTGCGATGCAGATTCTGATTGTTTAGGGTTCAGCGTTTAGGGTGCCATGAATTCGTTTGTTGTCGACAGAGATGAAGGGCCTCGGTGATTTCAATTTGTCCTGGCGCCGGAAAATGGTTCGACTCTGTTCCCGAAAAGCAAGAGAGCGAAAAGCTCACGCCGGGAAAGGAGTTCTGTCGTCCTCTCTGACTGTAAGGTTTAGGGTTTTAAGGACTGCGATGCAGATTCTGATTGTTTAGGGTTCAGCGTTTAGGGTGCCATGAATTCGTTTGTTGTCGACAGAGATGAAGGGCCTCGGTGATTTCAATTTGTCCTGGCGCCGGAAAATGGTTCGACTCTGTTCCCGAAAAGCAAGAGAGCGAAAGGCTCACGCCGGGAAAGGAGTTCTGTCGTCCTCTCTGACTGTAAGGTTTAGGGTTTTAAGGACTGCGATGCAGATTCTGATTGTTTAGGGTTCAGCGTTTAGGGTGCGCAAGGACGTGCGCGAATCGCGCACGACTGAGGCTCTTGGACTCCTTTTGTCTTGCACTTGAGACCGGCCCACGTGTGAAGAGAACTGTCTTTGCTGGGCCATGTGGGTATTTCCCAAAACAGGATAACCACTTTCATACCCCAAATAGAACAAACAGAATCCCTTTCTAGGGACATCCAAAAAAGGTACCCTAGGCTCCTAGTCCCTCAGCCCCTAAACCCTAAACCCTAAACCCTAAATGTGTAGACTGGCTCCGATGGGCTGGATGAGGCTTACAGAGCTGAGGACGAGAGCAGTTGATCTGCTAACCCTGGCCAATCCCTAGATCCTGTCTTGCAGACTTCGAATGTAGGGTGTAGGGTTTAGGGTTTAGGGTTTAGGGTTTAGGGCTTAGAGCTTAGGGCTTAGGGCTTAGGGTTTAGCATTTTTTCCGCCAGAACCTCGATGCACCAATTCACTGGTGCTCCTCACAGTTCTGCTGTGACGACTTGGGATGCTGCGCAGGTCCGGGGCGGCTGCATACTGAGGCTCGGAAGGCGCAGAGAAGACCTTGCACATGTTCGAGGCTTTTCAGGGTTTAGGGTTGCCCTAACCCTAAACCCTAAACCCTAAACCCTAAACCCTAAACCCTAAACCCTAAACCCTAAACCCTAAACCCTAAACCCTACGAACCTTCAAAATTCCTTGAAAATCTTGGAGCCGCCTCTGGACCACCCTGGCGCAGATCCGCCCTCAACATCGAACAGGCGTGCGCATCGCAAAAAGGGGTTTCGGGATTAGAGTTTCGGGTTTAGGGTTTAGGGTTTCGGGTTTCGGGTTTAGGGTTTCGGGTTTAGGGTTTGGGTTTCGGGTTTAGGGTTTAGGTTTAGTGCCTAGGGTTCTCTACACCCCAAAGTAAGATTTAGGGTCTAGGCCTTTAGGGAAAAGGTTCCCGAAAACCCCAAATTTGTATTATCGGTTGCAAAGGATTCTGGAAACCCTAAACCCTAAGCCCCAATTAAACCCTAAACCCTAAACCCTAAACCCTAAACCCTAAACCCTAAACCCTAAACCCTAAACCCTAAACCCTAAACCCTAAACCCTAAACCCTAAACCCTAAACTTCGGCTCTGCCGGGCAGCTTTGAGAGGTCTACGTGCCAAGCGTGGCTTTGTGAGGCATGCAATACAGGGGCCTTGATAATTTGAAAAGGGTCATGGGGGGGGGGGGGGGGGGGGGGGTTATGAAAGTAGACTTTTCCAGGGTTTAGGGTTTAGGGTTTAGGGTTTAGAGTAACTATTCCGACCCCCAGAGGAGTACCCTGATACTTCCAATTCTTGCCGTGTGCTCTCCGAAGGCGATCTTTGCCTCGGAACCACCTAAACCTTAGGGTTTAGGGTTTAGGGTTTAGGATGTTTAGGGTTTAGGGTTTAGGGTTTAGGGTTTAGGGTTTAGGTAAACCCTCAACGCTAAACTCTAAGCCCTCCCTTACGCACTCTATAAACGTCTGGGCTGAAACGCTGCCAAAGCTGAGGACACCACCATCGTCCCCCAGGCCGCCCAGCAGGACCCGGAGGGCTCAATCGGATTTAGATTCGGGTTTAGGGTTTAGAATGGTTTATAATGGTTTATATAATAGGGTTTATAATGGTTTATATAGGAGGGTTTATAATGGTTTATATAATAGGGTTTATAATGGTTTATATAATAGGGTTTAGGGTTTGTAATGGTTTATATAATAGGGTTTAGGGTGCAGCGTTTTTCGGGTTCTTAGGGTGGTTGTTCCACGCAATCCACGGAGCTATCGGTGACCACAGCATTGTGTTTACATAACATACTTCAGATCAATCCCCAGCACATACAATAGTACATGCTCCCTCAACCCCAGGCCTTAAGCCCGTAGCACCAGTGTGTAGCCGGTAGCAACTTGGGCGTCCACCCGTTTCTGCTCAGCGAGAGGGTTTAGGGTTTAGGGGTTAGAGTTTAGGGTTTAGGGTTTAGGGATTCAGGGAAAATTCGGCTGCCGGATTTGAAGGGGCGTCGTGGGAAGAAGAAAGCCGAAGCCATAGGTTTCGGGCTTCGTGTTTAGGGTTTAGGGTTTATGACCTCTTTGTATCCCTTATATAGCCCCCTACTGAAAGGTTCAGGAAGATACTTAACGTCAGATAGCTCATAGGGTTGCCCAGCTCAGGGCAGTTACGATGTTACTTTGGGCTTGTTTGTTGTGAATTCCTGAGTTCCTAAACGCAAAATCCCACTTAGCAAGCTTCTCTGCGCCCCTACGCCCTAAACACTCAACGGCAACCTTAGCAATGCCACTGACGTATGTTTCAGTCTGGGCCCCAACTTCCTGAAGAAGGTTGTTGCAGATGCAGAGGCTGTCGGCTTGACTTCATACAACCTGAGTGGTGTCGCCACACTACAGCTCCTGAAAGCACAGAGCCTGTCTGGAATGCAGCAATCCTACTTGTCAGTGCTGGCCATTGCCGGCAATCTGCTGTGGCAACCTGACTTAGGAATGTGGCGTACTGGATTGTCAGCACCAGTGTTCATGACTGGCTTCATTTCCAGGCCCTGACAGCCGGAAATGTTTCCGCCTTGCACAAAATGCTGCTGAGAATCCTGAGCTGCTTCCGATCACCTATCCTGCTGGTTTAGGGTTTAGGGTTAGGGTTTAGGGTTTAGGGTTTAGGGTTTAGGGTTTAGGGTTTAGGGTTTAGGGTTTAGGGTTTAGGGTTTAGGGTTTAGGGTTTAGGGTTTAGGGTTTAGGGTTTAGGGTGGAAGACAAAGGAAGTAGGCCTCCAGATCAGCTTTCAGCCGCACTCTTGGCCACAGTCGCCTGGAAAACAAGAACGGTTTTCCAGCAATGATTCCCAACTGTTTAGGGATTAGGGTTTAGGGTTTAGGGTTCTTGTTGTGTAAGAAAGATCTGTAAGTCAACACAGTATAAGCCCCGGAACCCTCCTTACGCATAAAGGCAGCAAGGCAGTTAGATTGCCCGTGCACTGCTGACCTCTCACTGCTCTGATAGGAATGCCCTAAACCCTAAACCCTAAACCCTAAACCCTAAACTCACCTAAGCCCTAAACCCTAAACCCTTTAACTTGTAGGGGTTTTGGCTCCGACCCTTGTTAGGGACCTTCGGAGTTCTTTGAAAGTTATTTAGGGGCTACTTAGGCGTATAGGAAAGGTATAAGGGTTTAGGGTTTAGGGTTTAGGGTTTAGGGTTTAGGGTTTAGGGTTTAGGGTTTAGGGTTTAGGGTTTAGGGTTTAGGGTTTAGGGTTTAGGGTTTAGGGGTTATGTATGGGGAATCAGATGAAGGGTCCCTTCGGGGGGGCCCTTCCTTGTACCCCTTAAAGCCCCTATACACCCTACACCCTAATTTAGTGGCCTTACTAATTGGAATAGGTTCTTTGGAGGGGCCAAGGGGGGGGGGAATTATATTATATATATATATGTATGTATATACATATAGGGACCATAAGGGAATCCTCTTGGTTATTCCGACCCCGAAACCCCAAACCCTAAACCCCAAACCCTAAACCCTGGGCTCAACCCTGACGGTGGGCTCCCAGTTGAGCCGCAGGACATCCCAACAGTGAAGGAGCTGCCAGAAAGGGGGTGCCTGGCCCAGTTTCTTCTAGCTTTTGCTGAGTTTAGGGTTTAGGGTTTAGGGTTTCGGGTTTAGGGTTTAGGGTCTAGGGTTTAGGGTTTAGGGTTGGT